ACTAACTTGATTTCCTTCATCTAATCCAATCCAAAAATCTTAGAATTGGTTTAGTTAGGTTCACCAAATGAAGGTGAGACCTAGTTAAATCAATTCCTTGATTTAAATGAAGAAAAACAAGCCTAATTGTAAAATTTAGCCTAGGCCCACTAAGGGCCCAATTGCTAGTTTCACCTACACATTTGTTATTTGCTACCCCACTACTAATACTAAAAAATATAAAAATCTATGACCCTTAATACAAGGTCAAATGGAGTAAAAGTCTTCGAGTAACATACCCTAAAATCCTAAGGGTATGATCTATAAAGAAAGATAAAAGTGCCTTACTAATACAAAGAAAAAAATAAGTCTATACAAGTATCTACTAAATATAAGGTACTATACAAGGTATGTACAATAGAGACTACAAGACTACAAAGAGGAATTATACTCAATACTCATATAAAGCATAGGTCTAAGAAGCACTTCCTTTAAAGAAGTCTTTTCTAGCCTATTAATCATGGACCTAGTTAAAGACCCAATGGTCTTCAAGTGTGAGCTCTTTATGGATGGTTTTCCATCACCACTCAACCGTTTGGAAAGAACTGAGCAAATTAGAGCGATTTTTGAAAAATATAAATTGACCCCTCTAATGTGCAAAGCAATTACCACTCAATTGTAACCTCCCAAACCTTTCATTACCTTTCATGTTTTTTAATTACTCTATCCACACTCAAGAGACACCACTCTTGCTCTGCCCACACTCCCAAACCTCTCATTCTCATTCCACTCAACTTCTTTTCTTTTTCATTTTTTCAACCAACAAGGTATGAATCCTTCTTCTTTTTCTTTGTTGTTTACTTGAGGAATAGTAAAATACTTTTTCTTTTCACATTCTAGGGTTTTCATATAAAGTTGTGTTGGTGTGGTTGTTGATAATCCTAAAAGGAGGAAAGACTTTTTTTTTTTTTTGGAAAAACTTGAAATATACTTCTTGAACTATGCAACATCATGGTGCAAGTAGTAATGAGATTTTGTTGAATTTTTTTTTTTGAACAAGTGGGTGCACTCTTTGATTCAAGTTTTGTACATTTGAGCAAATTCAAGCAAGATTGACACAAATTTGAAGTTTTTTGAAATTAGGGACACTTAACCAAGCCGTGTGAGGTAGGGAGCCTAAACAGTTTGCATATCATCAATTGAGAATCATCACTGTTTGTGCATTGGTTGATTTTTTTTAAGTCTCTTACAAGTCATGATTTGTGTGATGCATGGAAAGGATTAAAAGGCATTGTTTTTATTTCTTAAGCTAGTAACCAAATAAGCCAACCCTTAAACATAATTTTTCCCCTTGTTTAGCCAAGTTGAGCCTTAAGAAAAATCTTTTGAAATGAAAAAGCCTTAAGCCTTAAAAAGAAAAATCATGAATTCTTCCCTAACCTAGTTGGTAAAAGAGAAACTTCATGAAAATCAAGGGTTTGTGCAAGTTGGGAATTGTTCATTGGTGTTGGAGAAATGTTGTACTTCAGCCATGTATCTACATGTATATTATTATTCAGTGTTAAAAAAATTAAATTATTTAATTAAAAATCAAAAGTCAAATCGTGCTTAAAGAATTACTTCCTCAAATATCAAAGAGAAAAGGGGAGAAATTTAGTAAATAAAAAGAGGGATAGAAGAAAATTGGAGCAAAAGAATTTATACAAACTGTGGATAATTTTTCAAAAACTCATGGTTAAGTGAAGTTGTTCTTTTGTCATCTAGGTCTTTATCATAGAAAAACCAAATTTTCTTGTAAAAGTCCTTAATGATCCATGCTTAGCTCATTTTTGTGACTTGTGGGAGATGGGTAACAAAATTGACTTAATGTGATTAAATGCATGGAATAAGAGAAACACTGACCCTTCACTACTACTACACATTTTGAGACATAAACACTTATAATGAGGATTGGTGTTCCTAATTGAAAGACAAGGAATAAAGAGTGGATGTTTTGCTTGGAAATGTTTTGTGTTTCATTGCTTGATCATCATGTGGACAACATTTGACTAAGCATCATGAATATACTTTTTGTTGATTAACAAATTTCATTGAGTACTTTGAACCATGTGGGTGCATTCACAATTTTTGGGGTGTGAAGATTGTTTGTTCCACCATGTATATATAATTGGCATGTCTAGGTAGTCTTTATTTCTTTAAACTTTTGTTTGGGGACAAACAAAGTGCTGAGTTGGGGGAGTTGATAAGTGTCTATTATACCTAAAATGTTGGATCATTTTAACATTTATCTAACTTGAATTAAGATGTTTCTTTTCATTTAACCCTTATAAATTTAGGAAGAATCAAAAGATTGTACAAATTAATACTTGGTAAAGAGTTAATGAAATTTTATTTATAAAGTTTTGGGTTTATGTCTTGCAGGTATCAAAGAAGATCAAAGACCTCAAAGCATACTCAAAACCACTCATCCATTTGTAAAGGGTTGAGCAGTTCAAAGATAGAGAACAAGAATTAGAGAAAATCCAAAATTGTTCATTCGTTTGAAAAGGGTTGAGCAGTCTAGAGAGGATGAAAAATCAGATTCACAGGGGCTAAGTGGATTCAAGACAGCTCATCCCTTGAAGTTGTTTCACTTTAAAGATTCCTTCAAAGTGTTGAACCATTTAAAAATGACAAAATAATTTATTCATTCTCTTCTATACTCTATTTTATTTTGTTACATTGAGTAAAAAGCAAGAGATGTTAATATAATTTCGAAGAATTTTAAGGAATCTCATTATAATTTTCTCAAAATATTTAACTTATTATATATTTATTTCTCATCTTTTAAGTATTTATGAAAGAACTTATTTAAACATAACCAAGTTTTATAATATTTTGTTATTCACGTGGGGTAAGTCTTACATTAAAATTTATAATGTTATTTTTGTACTCTCACTTGTTTCATTTTGCTTTGATGTTTTAAATGTATATCGTTTAGTTTTGTGCTAATTTGTGAAGAAAGAAGAGGATGTGAGAGTTACATCACTTTATTTATTTTTTTTTTGACAAATTTTTCAATATCAAATAATTATAATTTTTTTCTCTATTTCATTGATCTGTCCTATTTTTTCGCCATTTCACACATACTAAACGAAGTTAATTCCCCGACATTTTCTTCAATACATAAAGGTTAAGTTGAACTGGACATTATTGGAATGGAACTTGTCAATACATGATGGGATGTTTTGATAAGAGTTCCCTGGTCTCCATTACAAACAGAAACCAGCATGCACGCCACTTTAGTCTCATTTTTTAAAAACAACGAAGACACTTTGGGTAGAACAAAACAAAAATAATATATTAATTATCCTCTGGCAACGAGGAAGAAATAAATATTAATTGTCTATTGGGCAGAATAAATATAAATATTTATGTGTGTCACTTTAATGTGATGAAGCGTAATAAACAGAGAGAAGATAGTTTAATAGTGATTTATACTTTATAGAGACAGATGAATGAGATGAGATTTGACCGCACGTGTGGTGCACTGGCCGATGGACTCAGTTAACTTTCTTCCGAGGAAATTACACTCACACGTCACTGTTTGGTCGTGTTTAGAAAATTGTAAAAATTATATTATTTTTATATTTTATTATATAAATAAATTATTATATATTTTAATATAATTAAAGTAAACTTAAATTTAATTTCCTATATTATATAAAATAAGTTTATTTGTGAATAAAAAAATAATTTTTATACTATTAAATTGAAAAAAAAGAAAAAATATCGATAAATCATTTAAGAAAAATCCAGTAAATATTGTTTAAAACTTTATTAATAGAGAAAAAATAAAATAAAATTTTTATGAGTTTTTTAAATTCATGTAATAATGTGTGACATAATTATAAAAAAAATATATTATGAATGATCTCATTTATTTTAATCTTTAATTTTAGATTGATGTTTTTTTTAAATATCAATAGTTAAAATAATTTATTATTATAATATAAATTATTTATTATAAATTTAAAATATAATTTTATATATTTTAAAATATTTCTTATGACTTACAATGATAATATAATTTACGAATTTAATAATATTTATCTATTACAAATTATAATAGTATAAAACTAATAATTATTTGATCTTTTTCACACAATAAAATACTAGTATTCTAACATATACCTAATTAGATTGAACAAATTTTTTTAATATTCTTTTACATAATAATATGTTTCACTTAAAATACACTATATATTAAATTATTGGAAAAGGACAAATAAATCATTAGTTAAGAATTTGAGTTTTATATATAAAAATAATAATTAAAAAAAATCTAATTAAAAATAGTTATTTTTTTGATAAATTAATTACAAAATAAAACTTGACATATAAATTAAATAAGATATTATATTTTCACTCAAAATAAAATGATCTTAAACAAAAAGTTGAGAATAAAGACAATTTAAAAAATATCATATATATTTTTTATATAATGACATAAGTTCACAATATTCTTGAAAAATAATAAATTTTTAAAAAAATATTATAATTTTAATTAACTTTAATTTTATTTTGATTTATAATTTGGAGAATGATTGTATTAATATATGAGTTAATCACCTACATATTGTCAGTGTAAAAATTTTTTACACTGATAACAAATCTTATATTTTAATAGTACCATGTCAGTTGCTTATTTAATGAAATAATAATAAAATAAAATAATTTAAAAGATATGATCGGTTGCTAGTGTAAAAAACTTTACACTCAGTGTATGGATGATTAACTCTTAATATATACACAAGTTTGTTTTAAGTATTTTATTTTGATATTATTTTCTTTAATTTTAAAAAGCTTTATCACGTTACTTAATTTTATTGAACAAAACATTTATTATTTCCTTTAATTTAATTTATTAATTTAGTTTTAATTAAATATAGATAAACATCCAATTAATTTTTTTATATTCTAAATCTAGTACCTTGACTCTTTAACTAGTTACAATCTCATCCTGGAGTTGATAGTTATAGGTTGTGTACTAATCTGTCCTCTTACCTGAAAAAGCACCGCAAACTAAATTGAACAACGGTTCTTAATTAATTATGGTTCTCATTTTATTAATTTTACCCAAATTAATTTGCTTACTGTATTTTGTAAGGATGGGATTACAAGAATCTGCCCCAAAAGAAACAAGTCTTGTTGAGGGCAGTCCAAGCTCAGTGTCTTTGTAGGAGGAGCCTTTTCCTTTGGCAGCCAGAGTTGCCTTTTCTTCTTCCCCATGCTGCTAGGTACGTTTCCTCTTCATTTTTCTTCCCCTCCTCAATTATTACACCCTTCCCTAATGCCTCTTTTGACTGTTTCTCAGAATTTTCAAGTGCCTTCCATTTTCTGATTTGTACAATAAAGCAAGTTTGTTGCTTGGAAACTGCTTCAGAGACTGCCTAAGTTGTTTTATTCTGCTTTTACCCACTTCGCGCGTGCAATGTCCACTGAAGGGTGCTTCGCATTGCAGTAATTTTGATTTTTGTTTTCTGGCTGGTTCTCATCAGAAGCTGCTTTCTTTCGCTCAAAGGGGTTTAAAAAATGCCAATGTTTCAGTCTCTTTGTAAGAGGGATGGGGTGGACGGCCAGATTCTAGATCTGGACACGGCGGTCAAAGATGGGGTTTTGGGTGGCGTCGATTCTGGGTTTGTGGGAACAACTGGGGTTGCTGAAAAATTGGATCTTGGGAGAATGATTGAAGAGTTGGACTTGTGTGATGTTCCCTCTGTGTTCATTTGTCCAATTTCTCTTGAGCCAATGCAGGACCCCGTGACCCTTTGCACGGGCCAGACCTATGAGAGGTCCAACATTCTCAAATGGTTCAGTTTAGGGCACCTAACTTGCCCCACTACAATGCAAGAGCTCTGGGACGACACCCTCACTCCAAACACCACCCTCTACCGTTTGATATTCACTTGGTTCTCTCAGAAATACCTTGTGATGAAGAAAAGATCAGAAGACGTGCAGGGGAGGGTGTTGGAGCTTGTTGAGACGCTCAAGAAGGTGAAGGGCCAAGCTCGTGTTCTCGCCCTCAAGGAGCTCCATCAAGTGGTCGCTGCTCATGCCACTGCCCGCAAGGCATTGCTTGATGGTGGTGGAGTCTCCGTGGTATCGTCCTTGCTTGGTCCTTTCACTTCATATGCTGTTGGCTCCGAGGTCATTGGTGTTCTTGGGAGTTTGAACCTCGATTGTGAGTCCAAGAGGAGTTTAGTGCAGCCTGCAAAGGTTTCACTGATGGTGGATATTTTGAATGAGGGTTCAATTGAGACAAAGATCAATTGCACTAGGCTGATTGAGACACTGATTGAAGGGAAGGATTTCGATTTGGAGATTTTTAGGAGCCATAGCCTTTTGGTTGGGTTGATGAGGCTTGTGAAGGACAAGAGGCACACAAATGGAATCTTCGCTGGACTGAAGCTCCTCAGAAAAGTTTGCTCGCATTCCGAAGTTAAGAGTTTGCTGGTGAGCATTGGGGCTGTTTCTCAATTGGTTGAGTTGTTGTCTGGTTTGGAGCTTGATTGTTTGGAATTGGCTCTTTCAATTTTGGATGCATTGGCATCTGTCCCTGAAGGCAGATTAGCTTTGAAAGACTGTTCTAATGCCATACCCATTATGGTGAAACTGTTGATGAGGGTCTCAGAGAATTACACTAAATATGCATTGTCAATACTATGGTCTGTGTGCAAGCTTGCACCTGAGGAGTTCTCTTTGATTGCTGTGGAAGCAGGACTTGCTGCCAAACTCCTCCTTTTGATTCAAAGCAATTGCAATCCTATGCTGAAACAACAGTCGGCTGAGCTTTTGAAGTTGTGTAGTTTGAATTATTCAGATACAATCTTCATTTCGAAGTGCAAGCTTACCAGAACCATCCAATGACTGAATTTTAACCTGGTTATGTTATATCACAACTTGTAAATTTGTAGGACAAGAGAAGCAAAATCCAGCTACTTTCCAGGCTACAGAACTAAAAAATCCCAGGAGTTGGCATGGGGATAGTGGTGCAAAATGCAAATCTCTCCTATATGTTTGCTTTTTGCGTTTTGATTCCAGCCATTGATATTTGAGTGAAGGACACCAACACACCTTGCTTGAGTGGGTTCACTTTTGAGTGTTTCTTGTCCTAGGTTGTTCTCAATAAGCCCCATCAAGATGTTGAAATTGTTTATACTGCTTTTTGGGGGGTATATGGATGAAAGAAATCATGCTAATGTTGGATAAAGATACTCTTAGGAGAGGGATCACAACTAGGGTGGAGCTTGTAATTTCATTTGTAATTTTTGAGGAGCTGCTTTGCTCCATGTCTTCATTGTACTGTATCATCTTTCCCTTGGGGTTTTACAGGCCACCAATTTTCCCTGAAGCATACTGGGGTTTTGATTTTGACATTAAACATGTATGAGAGCCCCTTTGGCTTTCAATTTTCATTTAATCTGTACAATGGAAATAACCATTTTTATTATGCATTACAATCACAACTTTTCAAGCAGTCATATTGATATTATTAATTCTTGGATCTCAATTATTCAGTCTTTTCAAAGTGAAGAAACCGTATCCTTGTTTGTGGTTTATGTTTTGTTCTGCAGCAAGCGAAATGACACGAGGTGGAAACAAACAATGAAAAAGGCGTGGCCAGCAAAGTGATAGCAGGTGAAGCATTCATAACATGTGCTTGAGTTTACACCCAACCCATTAAAAGGAGGGTCATCACATGGCTCTCTCTCTCTCTCTCATGTTTACAAAAACCAATCATTCTGAAGCTTGATTTCTAATATCAATTTCAAGATTTAAATTCTCAAAACAAAAGGGCGTTGTCCACGTATATGTAGTCTTTGATTTATTGATCTTTTACGTTTGGCCTAACTAAACGTGTGCAGTGATCATTGAAGCAGGAACCCCCTAATTCTTATAAATTGATGCCTTTCTTCTGATGCTTCAGTGGTTCTTCTCTCAATTCATACATGTGGTCTTGTGTTGTGGTAGGTTCTTGGGACAAAGCTGAAATGTGGCTAGCAAAGGAAAAGGTTTATTGGTGTCTAAACAAGTTATTGGAACCAACAAAGAAAAAAGTGATGGAAGCAGATATCTAGATTGAAAAGCATAATTTTAACTTGGTTCAGGCTGTGGTGTCAGTTTTGAGTGAGTGGAATTGTCTCTGATTTCATCTTCGAGAAATATATGTTTGAGAAATTTTTTCTCCTAACACGACAATCCTTTTCTGGGCCCTTGCCCCATGGACTATTTTACTATTTTAGTAAGTAACCTTATCTTTGAGACTTCCCATTTCAAGTGAGCTAAATAAAATTATTTAAATAACTCTCTTGGCACTCTTACTGGTCTCGATTGTGAAAAATATTCGGTCCTAATAGGAGATATACCATATTTCTATTTGATTCTCCTTTCCTCAGTCTGGATTTTATCAAGTTATCACATTCTTTTTATAGGTGATTTGTCTTTCAGAGTTGGAGGAGGTGAGATGTGTGTTTGCAGTTGTATAGAAGTAGAACCTATAAGATTTGTGTCCAGGGAGGAACAAAGGAGCAACATAGTCATTTGTTTCGGCCTATATGGTGTTTATGATAATGATATCATCGCCACCACTATCCCTAGTATTAACAATATCACAAAAAGACACCCACACTAATTTTAATAGGATAATCATTTTTTCAAGTGTATTTATTTTAAAAATGAAAAATGGAAAGAAAACCAAAATTAAAAATTGATCATAATTTTTGAAAATTTTTAAAACTTAAAACAAAAAACTATTGATTCAGTTAGTAATTCACGGATTAAACCAACGATCCACCGATATAGTACGGTAATATAGTTTATTACCTATTAGATGTTTAAAATACTATGAGTTATGGCCCTAAAGTCTATCAATTTTTTTTAATGTTTTTAATTAGTAGCTTGAACTTTGAAAATTAGTTGGCTTCTCATCATTTTTCTCTTGCCCCCGTTGTCAACTTGGTTTGAGATCTTGATATGATCATACAAGAATATAAATCTGATCTTCAACATCAATATCCTTTTCCTCTATCTTTTGAAACAACGGCCGATGAAAATCAAAAGCAATCATTGACGAAGGATAAAATTAAAAGGATGGAAAGATCCGAAAGCTACATGCTAGATAAAATTGATTGACATGTTAGATGTTATGTCCTGAAATTAAGGAAGCGACATTCTAATTGAACGCATGAAGCCCTTAATTGCAAATTTTTTGCACTTAAAAGCAGCATTCATTTTACAAATATCTTCGTAGCCTTTATCTACAAAGGAATTTAAACAAAAAGAGTAGAGAGAAGAAGGATAATGTTGCACCGATTTGATCAACTCACGTAAATGGTATGGGCTTGGGCCCAAAAAAGTCCTATGGGCTTCTAGTACCCAACAACTTTTTGGGCTGACAGAGATATCTTAACATCTTCGATCCTGTTGCCGTGGTTGCTACAGATTTGAGAACATACTTTGACGATGTTCAGACGAAGCAGGTTTCTTTCCTTCCCTATGGTAATTGGGGCAGTCATGTAAGTTTTGCTTTTCTCTTCCTCTATATGCAATTTTCTCTCTTTATATGCATGCCTCGATTTAATAATTGATTGATCTTGTTAATTATGGGCAGTGATGATTTTATCTATCATATATTATATGTGGGCGATTTGCTCTCTCCTTGTTTAAATTTGGGGTTACTAAACCTTAGAAGCACGTATTTTGTTGGGAGAACCCAATCAAATTAAATTTGTTTGAAGATTTTGAATTAGATTGGTGTAGTAATGTACCAAGATTTTGTATGGCTATGCAGCATTGGTGTTGTTTCTGGGAAGGCAATATTTGGACCCCCTCTTGATGAGTATTGGAAAAAGAAGCATCGGGAAGAGTCAACTCCTGCTGCTAAGGAGGATGACTCAACCCCAACTTAGTTCACCAGGATCACATTTTTTCTCTTTATGTTTCGACTGAAGACCAGGATTGAAAGACCACATTTGAATTTGCATTGCAATCTTTTACAGTTCCTCTTTCTATTGAGGGAGTTTTGGTTCTCTTACTACTTTGTAGAAAATTTACTGTCTAACTCATTTGTCAGGTACCATTTACAAGCATAGTTATGTCCTTAGACTAAAATATAACCCAGACCTAAGCAATGTGTACACATGCTCAATAGAAATGATGGAAAATCAATAATATACGAATGTTGTGTTTATAATAAGGCTTCACAAACAATCCGATTCAAGGATGTGTTCCACTGATTACTCCATCAAACAAATGATACTGCTGGATAATGAATTCCACTTTTCTACTAATTGGTTGTGGATAGCAGGTTGCTGGCTGGTGTAATAAAAAGCTACCTAATAAGAGGATATTGAATGTGTGTATGCAGGAAGGTTAATATATTTGGCTACCTAAATTGCTTAATACTATAAAATTTGCCTAACTAGGTGAAGTTATAGGATACGATCTTATAGTATAGCAGTATAGACAGAAACAGATATAATATAAGATCTAAGTGGTCTATTTTCTTTTGTTTCACTTTAAATTTGAATATTTACATGCATAGAGAGATGGCTATATAATACGAGAAATTGGGCCTATAGGAAGGAGGAGGGACTGAGAATCTGAGAATACAAAATAGACAGGAATAACCAAGCAGGGAGATCAGAGGGAAGTAACACTCATAACAGCAACTGTCACGCCCCTTTTCCCTTCTTGTGACTCGTAACAAATTGTTATATAGTTGCATGTCGAAAGATGCATGATGCTTCACCATCGTGAAAGAGATTTGTTAAAGTAACAATTCTGAATCACATCCTATTAGTAAACGAAACTTTTGCAATGTTTGCAGGTACATTGAAAGACGAACTGTCATGTTACAATAACAGAATTTTGCTGTCACATTTCTCACAATCCCAACTACTACTACAGTTTGAAATTGAACTGCACGGGGTGCAGTTATGAATCTCACCGTTATATAAGTTTCTCACTCCTTTATTTTAAAATTATCAAATTATTTAAATTAAAGGAATGACTGAGATCTGTTCAGTTTTTTTCAAAACTGTAGAGGATCTTAATCCGGAGTGATATCAATTATCATTTATCAGTGCATCTTTTGACATAAGGTCAAATAAGTCTACAGAATAAATTCTATGCTCGATTTTACTGACTCAAATGTCTCCCCCCCAGTCATAGCATGATCAGATCAAGCCTCCTATTGCTAGAAACAACCAATGTAGAAGAATCCTTGCTGAGCCAACCACTTTCTTGCTTTTTCTTCATTCAAACAATTTCCACTTTTGGTTCAATAGCTAATGCATTTTCCACTCAAGTCCTGAGACAGAGTTACAGTTAGACTTGAACTTTTCGTTGGAAATTTCTCCATAATTAATGGAAAACCAACTCCAAGTAACCTTGTTAATTTTAATGCGTAGGAGTTACAAGGATCTTTGAAAATTTAGACATTATTTACCATTCATTACTCGCTATTGGAAGAAGAAGCCCCACACACACATATATAGGAAAACTCATGAGTTGGAGAATCCACATCCCATCCACAACAAGTGTGTTAGTGAAAATTCTTAATATTCTTTTTGAGGAATTAATATTTTTATCTTAGGCTTAAATATATTTTTAGCTGCTAAAAATTTAGGATAAATTTATTTTTGTCTTTCAAATTTCAAGTTATTATTTTTAAGTCCATGTAACTTTTACAAATCTTGTTTTAATTTCTCAGGTCACCAATAACTTATCTAAAAGTGACCGAATGAGATAGTTATACAGTATCAAATAATTTTAATGTAATGTTTTCATTAATAACGACACGGGTAAGTAGATTTTATGAGCAACATTTAACAAGTTCCTTAATAAAATTTAAGTGTAATGAATAAAATAAATTTTTTTGAAATTATAGAGACTAAAAGATCAATTTTAAATTTGAGAGATTAAAAACATATTTAAATCTTTCATCTTATTTGGTGAGTGAAATTGTAAATTGTTTTTGTTGCATGAGATTGAGAGGTCCTTTTGTATCAAGAGAGGAACATTATAATCTTACTTTTAATGGTGAATATACTTTACTAGTTTGAAATTATATCTATACCTATATATAAAAACATTTCATTGTTTTTGTGTATACAATTTTTTGATTATTTTAGTCTAATATGTTACAACCACCGCAAACTTTTTCCTTCAAATGGTTACTCTATTATTTTTATTTTTATTATTTTTTAAAATATAAAGAAGTATGAAATGTTTCTTTTACACCAATCTAGATAAAGTGATAAACTTATTTGTAAGCTAAAAAAATTAAAGAAGAAAATGAATTGAGGTTCTCCGTAAGTTAAAAAGAACTTACACATAAACTTTAATAAAAATCTTCATCTAATATCCTCAAAAGGTTAAAATACGTTGGTTTTAGCAAAGAAACTTAATTATATTACATTGGTCAGAACATTTTTTTACTTCCTATATTTCACTTATTTTATTTTTTAGCCTTTATTATTTAAAATATTTTTTTTTAGTTCATATACATATTTTTTTCAATCATTTTTAATCCATATAGTTTAAGATAACTTTTTTTAGTCTATATACTTATAGTTTTAAATTTTTTTAGTTTTCATCGTTCATTTTTTTAATATTATTTATTTTGTATTAATGTGATATAAATATTAATTTAACTATGTAGATTTATTTTTAATATATTTCATTAAGTGGATTCTTTATATTCGAACTAGTAATTTATTAGTTTTTAACTTAAATATGTTTTCATAGATAAACAATATTCCATTAGTAAATAATGATTTTCATGAATAACTTGACCACTATCATAAAAGTTCGTTCACTTAAATTGATCTCAATAGTGATAAGTGTTAAGATTTATGGATGGTGAATCAAGTTCTGAAGTGTTTTGATGATAACAAAGGTCATGAATGAACAAAGGAGAAGACATGAAGATCATGAATGAAAATCAAATGTAATAGGAGTAGTTTATGTGTTATGTTGCTTAGTTATTCAATTATGTTGTGGTATGCATGTTTATGCTTGTGCATGAGTCAAATCTTAATTCTAATTGTCTAAGAGTGAATATGATGATGATTGAGAACAACTTGGAGAGTTTCTGGATGTGTGAAATCGAATTTTGAAAACTAACTTAAAATAATCGATTATTACTAACTATAATTGATTATTTCTGCTATATTTTTCAATAGTTGAGAAACATTGTAATAATCAATTATCCCAGAATGTGCTCTCTGGAATAATTGATTATCTTGCAAAATAATCGATTATTCTGTTCTTGAGTGATTTCCAAAAATCATGAAGAACAAGACAATCAATTATCCTTAAAAATAATTGATTATCTGAATCTGAAAACTTTATAAAAAATGGTTATCTCATTCAAAAACTTAAGCAAGTGATATTGTGCAAACTTTGTGATATACTTTTGATCTTTATGATCTTCTTGGAGTGTTTTCTTTGTGAAACCAAGAAGTAAAACACTTTGAGAAAATGTTTTGAGAAAAATCATCATCATCATCACTACATTCTTGGAGAGAAGGACTAAGGTTCAAACTTTCAGGTGAATTCATTCCTTAATTCTTTTTGTGTAAGGTGGTAAGAATCTTGAGTAGGTTTCTCAAGTGGTAAGGAGTTCTTGTAGTGAGTTTCTACAAGAAGTACTTTCTTGGGTGTAAGAAGGGGTCTATCTTGTGTGTTAAAGTGTTTGCATGTGTAGAGTGTTTTAAAAATTCTTCATTGAGATAGTGGAACAAATCTTAATCAGGTTATGATAGAGGACTGGATGTAGGTCACATGTTGAGTGACTGAACCAGGATAAATAACTTTGCAATCTTCTCTCACTCTTATCTTTTACATTAAGCAATCTTTAATTGACTGTCAAAACAACTGCTTATGATTAATATTCTTGTATGATTTAAATGGTTTAAATTGAAATATAAGCACTGCATGATAACTTGGTCATAAAGTTGGTCACTAAAGATTAGTGAAACAAGCATATAGGAATTCATCCCATATACTAAGAGATTCAATATACTTCATAGGAAATTGATTTTAGAAAAGTTTTAGAAATTAAGATCCTAATCTCTAGTAATTTTTTAAGTGTTAATAAATCCAATTCACCTTCCTCTTGGATTGAGTCATTCTTTTTTATCAATAAGTTGATCAATATAAATATCAATTGAATAAATCATATCACATAGATTCAGAAATTATAACAAAACTAAAGAAAAAAATATATTATAGTTACATTACAATGAAAGAAAAATGGTACAGAAATGCATTCACAAATTTCTTAAAATTGGAAGCCATTTATGGGAATAGGTAGAATGATATATAGAGTAAGTTTGTGTAAAGTATTTTTGACTCTTAACAAAGACCTTACTTTGAAAATTTAAAGAAAAACATTACAATGGACAGTGAATATGGACTAGGGTCATGATTAAGGTAAGGTCAATAAGGCCATTGCTTTAGATCATAACTTGGGTTTTTATAATACACATACATATATATATATATATATTATATTTAATTATATTATTTAGAATTAATTTATCAATACATTAAATTATAAAATTATGAAAAAATGTGTCAATACATAGATATTATTGTAAAATTATTAGTTTGAGAAGTTATATTATAATTAAAAACCTTATTATATTTGTTTGAATTTAATAAAAAAATGGTATTGAAATGAATATAAAGATTCAATTTCATAAAAATTATTATGATCTATATTAAAAAATAATGAAATGATAGTGAATATAACAAAAATGATAATGATAAAAATATTTGATTAAAAATTAATTTTTTTATATTTTTACAAAAAAAATATTTTCTAATTTTGATTACTTTGTATAAATGTCAAATTATTTTATTTTATTCACAATATATTTGAAAATATTTTAAAATATGAAATCGCATTTGAAATTTTTTATTTGAATTTTAATCAATAAGATTTTTTTAAAAAAAATTGTATTATTAGAGATTATGACTTTTTTTTCTCTAAATTGAAATTACTAAAAAATACTAAAGAATAAATTAGTGTTTTATTATAAATTTTAAACTATACTAAAAAATTACTTTTTAAATATGTGAAATATATGTTAATTTATAGAATATTATAAATAATATTTGTAATTATTGTTATAATTATTTTTTAAAATTAATTTTTCTTAGACTAATTTGAGATTATATTTCAAAATAGTTATTGAATCAATTATTGAGATGTTGAAATTTTTAACTATTAGATTTAATTGACAATTTTATTATAAAAATCAAAATAAAAAGTTATCAATTATTTGAGAGTAAAATTTAAATAATTTATTTTTTCCTTAAACCTAAAACTTGTTAAACACAATCCTGATATGGACCATACACGCATATGACTTAAATAACTTCTAAAAAAGTTATAATTATTTGAATTCTTTATCCCTTTGACTATGTAAAAAATTTACGGATAATAGTATTATGGTAAATTTATTTTGTTGATATTATTTTATATTAGGTCTCTCAATAAATTATATTTTTTTTTATTCTCACGTGCAACACTCATTGTTTAGACATTCTAAATTAAAGACTTATACCATATTAATACAGAAAATGTTACAAAATATTAATGATAAGAAGAAAAAAGAGGAAAAAAAAAACTATAAATTTAAAGACTTAAAAATATATCTTAAACTATAAGTGTGGAAGAAAATATGCACAAAATTTTGATGATGTCAAAGCATTGAAGAAAATAAAAGGTCAAGTTAAAGCAAGTTGATCAAGAAGCAAGATCTCAAGAATTAACTAGATAAGTCTTGACAACTTAGCTTAATATGTAAAATGAACTTTTAGAAATTGCAAAATTTCACTTGGCCATTAAAATAAAGATTTCAAGAAAACCTAAATTTAATCTTTTTGAATATAAGAATAAGTTGTTTGAAAAGAAAGCAAAAAGAGTATTCAAAAAGATTAAACAAAAATATTTTAACTGGAAAATATAAGTTTTCTATATCTTAAGTTTTCATAAGCTAATTTAGTAATATTTGTCTGGTAATCGACTACCATTCATGTAATCGATTACCAGAGAAAGAAAATTTTTTTGTTCGAAGTTCAAATGTTAAAACGTGCTCTGGTAATCAATTACCAAGAAGAGAGAACTTCAAAATTTGAATTTAAAAGATAAACGTTTCAAATATTTTGAACTTAAAAATCGTTGTAATCGATTAACCCTTGTAATCGATTACCAGAGTATCTTTTCTGAAAAATTATAAAGAGTTACAACTCTTCATGAAAAGACACAACCTAAGAAATAATTATCTAAAGAGTCCATTAAGATCATAAAAGTGTAATATCTACTTTTCAAAGAGAGTCATTCTGTAATACCTACTTGATCATTTGATCTGTAAAGGAGAAAAAGTTTTTCTCCTTGTTGGTTTTTGAATCTCAACATAAGGAAAAAGTGTTCCGAGGTGTTGGAGGATTCAAGTTTTGTAAGAGTTACAAGAATAGTGGAAATCTCACGTTGGAGACTTGAGGACTGGACGTAGGTAGGATTGGCCGAACCAGTATAAAATGAGTTTGCAATTCTTCTTTCTCTACACTTTTAATTATTTATTATTAATTGTGATTGAGTAGTTTGCTTCATCATTAACTTATACACACAAATTTGTCTAAGTAATTGAATTTATAATAAAGCATCTCTAAAACTCATGAAAGAAGAAAAATTGGTAAACTTAATTCACCCCCCTCTTAGAGTCTAAGTTATTTGAGGTTACTTAACTAACAATAAAGATTAAAAATGATTAAAAGTACGCACATGTACACACACAAATATATATATATATATATATATATATAATATAAATCAA